TGCTAGCAGGCCTGGGCCTCCTTTTTACCATTATGGTAACGACAATTTTCATTGTCTGTGAAACTAATGATGTTCTTTTTCCAACACCCGCCCCTGAGGAAGAGATAGTAAGGACCAAAAGAGGGACTAGAGTAACCAGCCTTATGTCCCCAAAAATAACAGTCACTCTCCAAGAAGGTAGCGACGGAATAGTGGACATAGATCTGTGCGCGATCGCCCCATGTTCCAACTCTGACAAATCATACTCAAGTCTCGCTAAATATGTCTGCCTCACCCCAACAGTATGCAATATATTCACCGACCGAAGGTCCACAGGTGCAAGTTATGCCTCTGATTCTCCCTTTAACAGGGAAGATAAGGGATCTATTACTCACACCCGAGGATGTAAATGCGAATCCTGATCTTATGTACTAGTTAACTCTGGTCCCACAGACTGGGGATATATGCCTAAATTCAAATCAGCAAGGATTGTTGCGTCACAAAAAACGTAGAATGAAAGTCATTAGAAAGAACCCTACCTCTCCCTGTTCTACAGGAAGATGCAACCCCGTCTTAATTATCCTAAAAAGGGTTGAGATCAGCGATGCAGGTCTATATATTTTGGCAGCACATGCAGGAAACAAGTCACCCCAAGGTCTGTTTAAGATAGTTGTCACTCCAAAACCAGCAGTAACTCGCCCAACTATAACCGAGGTACACTATCTGTCCAAAATCATCTGCGGAGATCAATGTACTAGCGAAATTGGCGAAGTTGAACCACTAGACATAATTCAAATGGCCACGGGTTTTACTGATGATAACCTATGGTTAAAATGGGTGGCTGGGACTGCTCACGAACAAATGGCAGGTGATTGTTTAGCTTGCGCGACCGCTCGTCCCCACTTGATAACTGACCCAGCTCCTCTCTTCCCTTCAGATACCTGGGGTTACAACTGTATGTTAAAACTTACCCAAATGGCTAGCCCATCAAACTGTACAACCTTAGCCAGCCTTTTCCCACCGATTAATAATGACACGAAAACAGGACCCTTTACTCCAAGAAAAGGCAGAGGGGGATACACTTGTTTCAAATTAACCAGCGCCTCCCCTAAATTTAATCTGGGTAATGTTTCCTCTGACTGGTGCAACAGCACTCTAGCAGGTAATATGGTAGGCCATTGGGCCAGGGGTGGACTTTACTATTATTGTGGCGGCCGACGGTTGTATACCAGAATTCCGGAAGCATCAATAGGACTTTGTGCAATGACCCGCCTCCATGCCCCTTTGACATTACTAGGTGATAGGTTAATTCCCCTCGATGCGAAACACGTCTCGAACGGTCAGTTAGCTAACCGACGGCGAAGACACGTTTTAAACAAAAGAGACGCAGGGGTCAACTTTGACCTTTCCAGTAACTCCCCTACTTACATTGACTCCATAGGAGTCCCTCGGGGGGTCCCTAATGAGTACAAATTAGCTGACCAGATCGCGGCAGGGTTCGAAAATATTCCTATCATTTCAGCTATTATTCCCATTACCCCTAACAAAAATGTAGACAGGATTAACTTTGTACATTACAATGTCCTCCGTTTAGCAAACCTCACTAGGGACGCAGTAGAAGGCCTAGCTGAGCAGTTAGAGCCTACCTCCCTTATGGCTATACAAAATAGAATGGCGTTGGATATGCTTCTGGCAGAGAAAGGGGGTGTTTGCGCAATGTTCGGTGATATGTGCTGCACGTTTATTCCCAACAACACGGCGCCTGACGGCTCCGTGACTAAAGCCTTAGAGGGTCTACGCGCCCTATCTAAAACCATGCATGAACAATCAGGGATCAACAATCCTATGGAGGAATGGATGACAAACATGTTTGGTAAATGGAAAAGTTTAATAATGTCTCTTCTAATGTCTGCGGCTACTTTTATTGCCATTTTGGTGACATGTGGTTGTTGTTGTGTTCCTTGCATCCGCTCATTGTGTGTTAGACTCATCAGTTCCATCATTGAAGGAAAAGCTGCCTCTTCCCCTTCGTACCAAATGCCCTTGTTGGCTTACGCGTCGGACGGGGAAGAGCACGATGACTCAGCCGACAAGGACGAGTTTTTTTAACATATTTTGGTCTCCCTCCACTGTCATTAAAAGTTGTTATGATGGACTGTTTCTAAAGGTTTAACAGTGCTCTAAATCCCAGCTTCTGATGGATTTATATAAATGTTGGGGAACAGACAGTAGGTTATGTTTCAAATGCTGTGTATCAATTGATCTCTGAAGGTGAGTTCAAAAGAGGGGTTAAAGCACCCAGATATTGTTCTAAACTGTATTAAAGTAAACAGGTATTATCTTGAACTGTATTGAAGTGAACATGTATTATTTGGGACTGTTTAAAGTAATCCTATATATCTAAACCTTCTTACTTACACTCCATGACCCAGAGACCCTGACACACACACATACATATCCTCCTGTCTTCATGCAGCACACACACATAAACTCCTTAACCCAGATATCAGCAACACACACACACATATGCCTCTGCTTATCAGCATGCACACACACACACTTTCCCTCACTAACACACACACATGTTCTTTTTCCAAGGATTCTTGCTGGGGCGAATAATCCCAAGCACCAATATATCGGTGTAAAATGTTTGATACCAATATATCTGTGTACAATGTTTGATTGTTTTAAAATAATAGTTTGTGTGAAACCTTCCCTGGGAAATTAAAGGAGTTAACCCAGGTATAAGATAAAAAGTGATTCTGACCTTGTATAGTTCCGATGCTGTCACGCTCTGTTCAGAAGAAAGATACTTTTTACCAGAACTCTAATTCGTTTAGGAGTAAAATGGGACGGAAGAGCCGACACATCTCCACCTCCAAATATGTCCATATATACTGTTGTTTCTTCATGCAAAGGGCCCCCTGTTTCTGACTGGCTGGTCCCGATACCTGTATCGCACAGCAGTAGAACTGGGAGTCCGGAGTACTCTGTAAACTTGTATTGGTGTTTTTTACCATTAAAATCTGATTATTGTTATAACTTTATGCCGGTGTGTTGAACTCCCTCTTTTATCAATCTGACCAGGCTCATCTAACGGACGGCGCGGAGCACAGGTGGGCTTTGAGCCACCACTATTGTGTCTGCTCCTACAACGCACAAACAGGACCTATGGAGAGGTGACAAAGCAAGTGGTTTGGTGCCTTGCTCAAAGACTCATCGGCAGTGTCAAACTGGCCCCTCTCCAGCTACGTTACATTACATGTTCATTTGCTGAGCCTTTGATCCAAAGTGACTTACATTAAATACAAAAACATAGTGAATTAAACTCTGAATAACAAGGAAAGTGCAGATATATTCACTTCAAGCAAGTCATCCCATTGTAAGTGCTGAATTTGTTACAAGGCCTAAGCCAGGTGTGTCAAAGTCATTGTATGTGGTCCGCAACAGCTCGCAAAGAATATAAACAGTTTATTATACATGCCGCTTAACAGTAGCACTGTACGAATAATGACGATTGCATTTATATATTTACACATTTGTCAAAATGTAGTTGAGTTTTCATACATTTTGAACAAAGTGTGTGACTCACGCTCTCTGCTGTGTGACAGGAAATACAGTGACAATATTTAAAGAAATAGTACACACTTACAAAGAGTGAAAAATACGTTTTGCTGCTTCATAAAACCCAACAAAACATCCGAAATATCCCTTTAAAGCTACAGATATCCCACAATTCAGTGCAGCACTACAAATAATTTACACTGCTGTGAATTTCAGAAACGCTATTGCTCTTATTGTAATAAAACACAACTTTTCTAAGCTTAATTTTGAGAAAACTCATAATTTATTTCGGCCAATACGATATAAAAATGTTCAAAACAATCCAATACTCAATTCAGGTATTTCACAGTGGCACAGGTGATGTAGGACACAATAGAACATTGTAAACTTTAACACTTTAAATACATTTATTTGACATTATTTGGCATTGTCCTGTATTCAGATTTTACCCAGCTGTGTCTTCTGACCACACAAATAAATATAAACAATATTAACAAACATTTTAAATGTTCTTCACAAACAGAAGCTTGTCGTTCTTCTCGTCAGGTCAAAATATATTTAGTAAGATTATCGTGTAAATAGTTTTCTGACAAATCAAGTGCTATTGTACATTTTCTAGCATTCAACTCGTCTTCCTCTCCTGTCAAAGGTCTCTACTTTTTATAGAGATTTTACTGGGAAATTAATCTTTTATTAATTACAAAAATAAATGCTGTTGTTATTAAGCTTTTAATGTTGCATATTGCTGTAAAAGAAAAAGGTAGAAAAGCTACAACCGTTACAACTGTTACATTACGTCCGTTACGAAACTAACTAACTAACTAACTAACAAAGCTTAGATGGAAACATTTAAAGTGGACCTATCATGCTATATTTGAATAATATATTGTAGGGCCATACCTATATAAAACATGTCGGTGAAGTTTTTTCTTTGAAAATATCAAACAGATCATGCATTTTAGCCATGCCTCATTTCGCTCTATATGCTCTGTTCCAGACCTGTTTTTGCAAGGGCTGATTCTGTGACGTGGCTTTAATGCAAATGAGCTGCAGCTGACCACGCCCCCCTGCAGGAGAGGGGAGCGTGCTTTGAGATCAGCTGCTGGGCTGTCAGAAGAGGGGGAGGAAAAGAGATCTCCATCCTCCGTGTTTTATTCTTATATGATTATATAGAGTCGTTATTCATTTGTTTTAAAGCTCAATAAATAACAAAGAAGACCTTTGACCGGCACTTTTCTAGTTTTGTCCAGAAGATTTAAACTTTAACGGACATTGTAGAAAACCCAATTTGTGTTATTTGAGACTGAAGGGGATGTTGCATTGTTTTTGTTGCTTTCGTTGCAGTTTTATATATATCTTATAATGTAATTTAGGTGAACTTCTTTTTTCATTTATGCTTTTATTTTGAAGGCAAGTTCACGCGGCTGACAGGAAGTTGTTGTGGCATTGGAAACAAGGTGACGGAGAAAGTAATATGTTCTATGTAACGGCGGAGATAGAGAAGAATGGACTTTATATTTAAATGTTAGCACCCCCCGAAGAGGCTCAAGCTCTTACGTTGGGTCTGGAGTTACAAATACATTCTAATTAATCAGTAAAGTAAAGCCTACGACCATTATTCGGAGGGAAATGCTACAGACATATTGACCGGCGAAAAAAAATCTAACTGAAACTCTGCCGCACGGTCCCCTCGTTCCTTGGAAGAGGCGGAGAGGTGAGTGTTTTTCATCTGCTGGTGGACTACCGGAGAGAATTACAGCGAGGGAGGGATTGCAATGAATAACAACAGCAGGAGCAAACGCTTGCCTCGGGGAGGGAGAAAAAGAGCCAGAGCGGAGAATAAACAGAAGGGCAACCATGGCAACCGTGCACGGGAAGTCTTCTTCGCTGCTTTTGTGGCAGACTACAGCGCCACTTACAGGCCTGGCATGTGTACAACAGCGTCTCCAGCGCTTTCGAGCGGTCTCTCATTCCCCTGATAGGAGCACCCCTTTTCTGACGTCAGATTCAAATCTGTATCAGCTCCATTGCAGCCCCGTTTTTAGAGATTTGGGTATGGAGGAAAAGAGAGAGGGTTGTGTTTTCTGACACTTGGTGAGTTCCCTGACACACCGGGGACACATATTCATGTATAAAAGACGTACAAAAGTACATTTTGCATGATAGGTCCCCTTTAAGGTTAACTTCGACCTCCGGGGGGTCTTACTATGGAGGAGTGGATTGAGCAGTGCCTATCTCCAGAAAGCACCTAAACGACGACATGCAGAGCTACGTGAAGAGCAGGTAGACCAACTGGAAAAGTAGCGCCATTCAAAAGCTTTCTGACGCGGGTCTTGAAACAAAGCAGAGAAATGATGACCGTTAGTGGCCACAGGTGCGAAAGCCCTCTCCAGAGCTACTGGAAGCCCAATCTCGGGGACCGGAGAAAGTGGAGCAATATTCTTGCCACGCCAAGCAACAGCCTAGAACAGCGGTGTCAAACTCTATTTCATCGCGGGCCACATTAGAATTATGGTTGCACTCAAAGGGCCGGTGGTAACTTTAAGACTATATAAATATACTTAGATAAATATACATAATAAATATGAAATAATGTATATTTTTGCAATATTGCCTCTGCATTAGATTATTATCGGATAGGGTAATAACTTCATAATTAACTACGTCTGAAAGCAGAAGTCTAGGGCAAATCATTGCAAGTCTCTTCATTGTGCATGTCACAAAATTAGATGTATTGTGGGACATGTAGTTTATGGGCAACGTTCTCCTGTAAAGCGGCACGTAACATTATAATAAACTTATGATATTCTTTGCAAGCTCTTGTGGGCCACATAAAATGAAGTGGCGGGCCGGGTTTGGCTCCCGGGCCTTGAGTTTGACACCCCTGGCCTAGAACAACCTCAACCTATACAAGTAACCACGTAAGCCATGCTACTGACGCTGGACAGTTTTTCAGTGGGTGCACAATAAACGGCAACATACACATGAATTTAAATAAATAGCTAAATAATCGATCATTGTTCTCTGTCTAATATGTTCGCTAGCTGTTAGTGTTGTTGCATAGCAACCACCTCGCACTATTTTATTTTGAACATCATTATTTACTAATAAAAGCTATTTAAATTGGAGTATGTATTTTTATTTCATATTGCCATACTTTGTTAACCGTTTTATAAAAGCAATGGCCGTTTTTAATTAGGTATAATGACCATATACCACGGCCTGTCGTGAGCTATTGCTTAATTATATATTATATGACTGTCTTATAACTATTGATGCATTCATGTGTCTATTCTTTTAATGTTGCAGCTGGTAAAGGGTAAGATAACATTATTTACGGCCAGCTAAATATCCTTTAGTCCTTTACCCACAAATGAGTATATTTACTCTACTTCTATTATATATATAATACTCAAGTAAAGTCATGTACCTCAAAGATGTACCTAAGAAAAGTCCTTGAGTAAATCAACTTTCCATCACTTTGGGTACACAGGTAAACATACAAATAAAGAAGAAAACAAAAAAGCAAACGGTATCATTTGAAATAACATATTTGAAATTATACAAAGTTGCGTTTAGTTGCCTTTGTATTCCTAATGTTTTTAATAGTGGTGCCATATTGCTTTAAGTCTTTGTAAAATAAGATACTGATTCTCTTATAATCAATTATGTGATGATAATATTGAATATTGCATAGATGCCATTTGTGGCCACAGGGGGCGCTCATCAGCAAAGGTCAAGGCATAGACAAAGGGTTAGGGTTACAGGGTGGGGGTGTGTGTGTGTGTGTGTGTGTGTGTGTGTGTGTGTGTGTGTGTGTGTGTGTGTGTGTGTGTGTGTGTGTGTGTGTGTGTGTGTGTGTGTGTGTGTGTGTGTGTTTCCTTACGTTACAGTGAGTTATCTGATCCTCTTCTCTTTTCCTCCGTGAGAAGCAGCTCAGCAGCAGGAACAACAGAGGTAAATGAAGATATTTAACAGTTATTTTATTAAATTGTTCTTTAATGGGATTGTAGCCGCAGCGCTACACCTGTTTTCACTAGTTACGTTTTTGCTTATTGTACTTATTGTTCTTTTAATCATGAAAGAGATCAGTGTGTTATTTTTTTCCATTTTCCAGTGAAGGCGTTTTTGTTGTATTAGTTTTCTAAAGATCTCCTTGTTTATGAGATTACAAGATGAAGACCTTCACATATTATGTTTGCTTTCTGAAACATTGCTTTCTTGTTATCTCTAATTAAAGGTGGGGTAGGTAAGTTTGAGAAACCAGCTCGAGATACACTTGTTGTTATATTCCATGGAATGCTCTTAACATCCCGATAGCAATGAATATCTTAAAGGTGACATGTCATGCTTTTCCGGTTATTACCCGTCCCCTTGTGTTATGAAGGTTTTTCTGCATGTAAATGGTGTGCAGAGTCAAAACCCTCAAAGTACACCCTGTAGCGAGTAAAACTCTAACACAGAAAATACCTCCCCAAAACGCCTCGTTGGAGAAACGTCACTGTCCATTTGATTCTTCCGGGTACATCATGATGTCATGTCGTCCCGGAACTAAATGGACCAATCCGTGGAGCCGTTACGTTACTTCCGCGGAGCCGTTACGTTAAGCCCCCGCTGATTGGTCCAAATTGACCAATCCACGGACTTCCTCACACACTCAGTGCTGCAGGCAGCTCTGCTGATTTCTCCTCCCTGGCTGCAGGCTGATAACAGACAGTTGGGATCGCGGCAAAATTCTCCCTGCAGACCCATTCTCTCTGCGTTTATCAACCTTTTTCTTACTCAATATCAAGCCACACTTATTGTTTGTACTTCGGCTGTGACTTTGTGTGTGCTCAGGATGAGTTTGGCTGTGTATCGCTAAACAAGGAAATCACACCTCCACGGAGCTCAGCGCGATTCACAACGTCCCGACGGGTCCCGACGGGTCCCGACCAATCGGAGCACACTGGGCTCACAGGGAGGGAGGGAGGGGGGGGGGGGGGGGGGGGGGGGGGGGCAAGAGCTGCAACGAGCCGTTTAGTGGAGAGAGTGAATAATGCTGAATACACATACTTTACAGAGATGCTGTATGCGCAACCAATGTGAGTTTGGAAAATTGCACAGTATAAATCTATTCTAGTAGACCACAACAATGGAATTATGATCAGTGGAATATGGCATGACATGGGACCTTTAAGTGCTTTGACAAAAAATCCATACAAAAAAGTCATCTGTGGAAGCCGTAGCACTGTAAAAAGCACGACCAATCATCTGAGTCGGCCCGGCTAAAGTAACTGGATGGCCTACCTGCCTGTCAGCCTTCCATCTGGGCACAAACTCATCTCGTGCCCTCATTGGTCATGTGCGCGTTCGTGTGTGTTGGAGGAGGGGCTCTGTAAGGAAGTGGCAGATTTGTTCTGGCTGTGTATTTTCAAATTCTAGCGCACTCGAGCTGGTTTCTCCAAAATTACCTACCCCACCTTTAACTAATAATTGAATGTCATTTACTTTAGATGCAAAGAAAACAATCCTGTTATCTACACTGTAAAATGTTTGGCTGTAAAATTACAGTAAATTGCTGGCTACTAGTTACATGGATTTCACAGTAATTTACTGTAAATATTTCACAGTAATTTACTGTAGATATTTTACAGTAAATTTGAATAAAAGTACAACTAAATACTGTGACTTTGCAGTTGCCATGCCCATGGAATTACTGTGATATAGCAGTACAGAGCTGTGGTATTATGGTACCTTGCTGTACATACATTACAGTAATTACCTCTATTTTCACACTTTTACTGTAGGAGTAATGCAACACAGTAGCCAGTAATTTACTGTAAATATAAAAATGTAAATAATATGATAATATATTGTAAATTTGACTAACTGGGATTTTACCATACACAATTCAATCAGCTCAATCAACAAAGAAAATGCCTATTTTAACTTTGTATTACTCCATTGAAGTGCAAAGTACATTTCACAGTGTCTTGGACATGTTGTTACGGCCCCTACCTCTACTCCGCGGTAGTGGCTCACGCTGAGACCCGCAACATGAAAGAATACATGCAATAACCGGTACTTGGTAACGAGCATTTATTGATAATCAGCCGTTTGCTCACACAAGCGAAATGGGAAACAAAAAGAGGTCTGGAGGACTGGCCAAAAGGAACAAACAGAAGGAGGGAACCCGAGCCAGCCACACCACGGGCCATAGGACCCAGAGCTCCCCCCTAACCAGAAATCAATTATAAACCCTATGGGAAACAAAATAAAGCTGCGAAAACTGGACTACCAGGTCCTCCAGGCTAAACATAAACACATCTGCAAAAATATGGCGTACAGCTCAAAATGGCAAAGAGGTATTCTAAGGAGAGTGTCTCCCGGCATTAGGATAGGCGAGACATCCTTCTCCTCCAGCTTCTCTTTATATACACGGCTGAGTGGAATTTGGAACACCTGGGCAGAGGCGGAGCCAGGGGCAGACCAGGGCCCTTTCTCATTTCTCTAACTCCCCTCCTCGACTCCTATCCTCGACTCCTATTCTCGAGACTTAGTCCCGCCCACAGGAGATGCGAGCGGAGGAGCCGAGGAGGGGAACCGAGGAGAGAGGAGGGGAAGCAGCAGGCGGTTAGAGAAATGAGAACTCCTCTCCTCTGAGCGGTCATTTTAAAGAGACATTAATGATGACAGGAGGCACAGCAGCCTGATGGACAGATGTTCATGACCACTTATATATTTACTTTGATTCATTCACAGTGCGGTATAATGAGACAATAACAGGCTACAGATGCGGACACACACACACACACACACACACACACACACACACACACACACACACACACACACACACACACACACACACACACACACATATATACATATATGTATATATTTATATAAATATGTACAATTTCAGAATCAAACAGAGCACTCTCATAATAACGTAACACTATCAGAGACTGGATATATCCCTCCCCCCTCTCCCCTCTCTGGTCGCTACAATGAGGAAAATAAATTACCGGCCAAAAGTTGTATTTACATCTACGTACACACTGTACAACACACACCTACACAATGTACCACACACACACCTACACACTGTACCACACACACACCTGCAGCTCCTAAAGCATAATCAGGCTTCAGCCGTTGTGTATTTTATTATGTGAAGCACTAAATGGTCTTAGAAAAATCTGGACTCTTTGTTTGTAGATATCTACTAAACTAAAGCAAATAAAGAGAGTAGGCCTGTTATACTGAGTGATATATATTTTACATACTGCTCTGCTTTCTGCATGGACCTCTCAGCTGTTCTCTCTGGAAACATTGCGACGCGATGAAAGCAGTTAATAAAATAATATCCAGGGGATGCATGCAGAGATATCATTGGCTGAGATAAGTCCGGCCGTGCGTCACGACTTTTTGAAACATCTCTGTTCCCGGAAATGCATCCGCGAAGGAGCCGTGGAGGACCCATCAGTGTCTCCTCGGTTATAGCTCCTCCAGAGAGCCTCCTCGACGCTCGATCCTCGGTCCTCGAAGTGCATTTAGAGAAATTAGATGTCCTTCAACATGGCACGCTAAAATTCATTTCCGGGTCACTACCGGAGGACCGAGGAGTCGAGGAGGGGGATTTGATGAAATGAGAAAAGGCCCAGGTGCACCTGGGCAGAGGCGGAGCCAGCGGCAGACCAGGTGCACCTGGGCAGCAGGGAGACAGAAAAGAAAACAAGGAGGGGAGCACGTAACGCATGTCTACACAGACATCCACTCGAAGTCAACCATTTTTCTGAAGAATGTGCTGACATGGGGGTTTAAATTGCCATGCCTCTTTTTGACTTTCGAGCCCATCTCAGGGTTAAGGCCCAGGAGGCACCTGAAAGCAATAAGCCAAGACAACGATTTTACATAGATTGATATGTTGCATAGTTTATTTTAAGGCACATGCAGCGGTGCCCCTTTCAATTTAAGTAAAACCTGCACCAAAGAAATAAATTAGTATTTAAAGCCAAGCAAGAGCGATGAAAGCAAGAAAATCACTTAATGTGTTGTGTTATCACAGAGGATGGTCTGAATACAGTATTTTACTATGAAAAAATACAGTAACATATTGTGAAATCCTGGTAATCATTGATCCTGTACATTCACAGTAATTAACTGTGAATGTATTGATTTCACTGTGAAATTCAAAATTACAGTATTATATTGTGAACATCACAGGTAAAGACTGTAAAGTGGTAAAACAGTAATTTATTGTAAAATATTAGAGCTACATATTGTGAAATCATGGTAATGTTTTACAGTGTAAATGTTAGGATGATGACATTGTCAATCAGACTCAGAATCAGGTTTATTATCAGGTTAAGAAATTCTTTGACACCCTAAGCCTAAAATAACTCTTTAAAGTGCTTTTTTATCCAAGAATTGAATTGCCAAGATACAATGGAAACAGTTTTCAGTTTGTGAGGGAAGATATGCAGAGTTCCTGCTGTCCTGAAACATTTATTTTATTCCCTGACGAAGAGGTCTGTCAGGGAGTTCACTTAAAGGCAAGGCAAGGCAAGTTTATTTATATAGCACTTTTCAACACAAGGCAATTCAAAGTGCTTTACAAAAAATGAAAGAGATTAAGAAAAAGGCATTTAAAATCAGTCATTAAAAAGAAAAGCTAATAAAATAAACATTAAAAGAAAAAATACATGGATACAAGTTACAGTGCAGTCTAAGATATGAATAGTTCAATTAAAAGCAGCGACAAAAAGAAAAGTCTTCTTGCTGGATTTAAAAGTAGTCAGAGTTGCAGCAGACCTGCAGGTTTCTGGGAGTTTGTTCCAGATATTTGGAGCATAATAACTGAACGCTGCTTCACCATGTTTAGTTCTGACTCTGGGGACAGAAAGCTGACCAGTCCCTGAAGACCTGAGAGATCTGGATGGTTCATAATTTAGCAGGAGGTCAGAAATGTATTTTGGGCCAAAACCATTCAGTGCTTTATAAACCAGCAGCAGTATTTTGAAATCTATTCTTTGACACACAGGAAGCCAGTGTAAAGACTTCAGAACAGGAGTGATGTGATCCACTTTCTTAGTGTTAGTGAGGACTCGAGCAGCGGCGTTCTGAATCAGCTGCAGCTTCCTAATAGATTTTTTAGTGAGACCTGTGAAGACACCATTGCAGTAGTCGAGTCTACTGAAGATAGAAGCATGGACAAGTTTTTCCAAATCCTGCTGTGACATTAGTCTTTTAATCCTAGATATATTCTTTAGGTGATAGTAGGCTGATTTAGTAACTGTTTTAATGTGACTGTTGAAACTCAGGTCAGAGTCCATGACTACACCTAGATTTCTGGCTTTATCTGTTGTTTTGAACATTGCAGACTGAAGCTCAGCGCTAACTTTTATACGTTCTGACTTGGCTCCAAAAACAATTACCTCAGTTTTATCTTTGTTTAATTGGAGAAAGTTCTGACACATCCAGTCATTGATTTGTTCAATGCACTTACTCAGTGTTTGAATTGGAGCATAGTCTCCTGGTGAAATTGTTACGTACATTTGTGTGTCATCTGCATAGCTATGGTAACTTATTTTGTTGTTCTTCATTATCTGAGCCAGTGGTAGCATGTAGATGTTAAAGAGAAGAGGCCCCAAGATGGAGCCTTGAGGAACCCCACATGTCATATTTGTCAACAAAGTTGTTTCTGTCCTTTAAGTAGGATTCAAACCAATTTAGAACTGTTTCCGAAAGTCCCACCCAGTTTTCCAGTCGGTCTAGTAATATGTTGTGGTCAACAGTGTCAAACGCAGCACTGAGATCTAATAATACTAACACTGAAGTTCTGCCACTGTCTGTGTTTAAGTGGATGTCATTAAGACCTTTACAAGAGCAGTCTCAGTGCTGTGGTTTGGACGAAAGCCTGACTGGAACACATTGAAACAGTTATTTAAATGCAAGAAATTACTCAACTGTTGAAAAACAACTTTTTCAATGATTTTACCTAGAAATGGGAGGTTTGATATGGGCCTGTAATTGTTCATTACTGAAGCATCTAGATTATTCTTTTTTAAGAGCGGTTTAATGACTGCAGTTTTCACTTAAACCCAGTAACTCTGTATGTTTCATATGATTATACAAGTTTAAAATGTAAAAATTGCATGTAATAAAACTCTGATTTCAACGTTTTAAAAACAATATTGTCTGGAATGGAAATCAAAATGCATTTTATTTTGAGTCTGATAAATTATTCGCCGCTCAAACTTGCAGTTGGATTAAACATATTATTTATTTATTTTCCCATCATGCACAAATCACAAATGAACAATTTATAATGACATAAATAAAAACAGAGAAGGTTGAACTATCACCTGACATAAAGGTCTGAATCTGGGTGAGATCATTTACATAAAATGTAAAGAATAAATATATCTCTTATTTCCTCTAAAGGAAGCAGTTCAGCATATTTGATGTACATGATGTTACTTGGATAAAAGCAGAGATCTTCCTATAACCTGGAAGCCATGTTGTCTCTGAGTGAAGCTAAAACACAGCAGACAGGAAGTACAGTCAGTCATGGCTCCCTCCCCCTCCTCTACTGACTTCACTGAAATTCATTGGAGTCAGACTCACCTTCAGGGGGTGGAGGGTCCGCAGGTTGAAGCAGCAGTGTTGTAGTTTCCTAAGTTGTTAGTTTGGTCTGAAGGTGAATGTGAGCGTCTGTTTTTCAGTCTGTCTGTCTCTCTGCAGTGAGGGAGAATAACAAACTGTTTCCTGGGTGGATCCTGCTGGATCAAAGGTTGAAGTGGTGTTTGAGTTCAAATATAAACTGATTTATTGTATGTAAACTTGTAGGTGAAGTAGGCTCACGTAGTGTTTCACAAACCAAACTCATATATCTGTCAAGTCAATAGGCGCTTTCACACCGGAGTACTTTTCCCAGCAATAGTTCCGATAGTTCTTGGGATTTTGCATTCACACCAAAAAGATCTGGAACTAGAACCTAGTTTTTGCAAACCTTTTCACCCCCTTTCAGTCCCTGCTAGAGAGCAGGTACTTTCATTGGGAGAAAAAGGTTCCAATTTCTGATTGGCTGGGCGAATTGCAAACCACGCCCCGTAAAACTCAGAAAAGTTTTGTGAAGCCGCCATTTTATTTGCTCGCATTAGCATTATTAGCATTAGCCCAGCGCACCAACGGAGAGAGACTAACTTATGGCAACACAAAATAAAACATGGGAGCCAGTGGCGTAACTCGACGGTGCAGCCTTTGCAACGCACCGGGGCCCAGAGCCGGTCAGGTGCCCAATGGCATTGACCGGTTCACGCAGTCTTCAAAGTAACCAAGCAACCTAAATTCATTTGTAATGTGTCTGTCCAATGACTTTGCTCCCTTTAATGTCACGTGATACCTTGCGTGACGAGCGAACCGTTTAATCAACCTGTACTGTACTGTAGTTAGCAGCAGCAAACTTGCTGCTGCTAACTACATTATGAAAAATGTAATAGCTAGCATTTATAATGTACAGCAAACCAAAGCACAAGAGCAGCGCTCAAAAGAGAAAGGACAAGAGAGAGGGTATGTCTGTGCGTGTGTGAGCGCATCAGTGTGCGCTTATGTTTGGGGCGATGGGGGGGGGCACCAAAACAATATTTGCACAGGGGCCAATCACAACCTTGTTCCGCCACTGATGGGAGCGGTGGAGATGAGGAGGTGTCGGCGCTTCTGGCGATTTACTCGGAAGGCTTCAGTAGAAGCCAGTCGGACTGGCCCAGTTCCCAACTCCGGGGGAGTTTCATTTGCGTAATCCTCCCTCAGGGACTTATTCCGGTGTGAACGCGATCTACTACAGTTCCATTAGCCTCCTTTAGCTTAGCGGTGGTGCCGTGAAGTCATGTGACCGTGCTTCAGTTCCATTATAGCCCAACATTAGCCACCTTTAGCTTAGCGGTGGTGACGTGAAGTCATGTGACGAGTCCTAAAACCAGGAAGTGAGTTAGCATTTTACCACGTCCGGTTCCCTCGTCTCAGAGTCAATGGGATTTCTCCATAAGATTTTAGAAAATAGCTGGAATATTAATAATAATAATCTGTGGTTGACACGTTTAAGAGACGGATCACATTTTGTTCTACGGCATTAAATCCATCAGCAGTGACCCCACTGGTGATTTTTGAAGAGTTTACGTGTCTGAAAAACGATGGTTGTTACCAAGTGGCTGAATAGGACTACAGAAGTTGTGGAGGACGTTGTACGTCATTACGCCGAACACGTAAACTCTCCTCTGAGTTAGTTTCTGTTCTGCTTGAAAGCAAGTCCCTGCCTCCTGCAGAGTGTTCAAACAAACGCTTCAACCATTTGAATCTGTATGTTTGAATATCGATCTTAAGTTGGCGTGACGTTGAAGTCGTGCTGCTGGACTCGGCTGTAGTTCCTTTATAGCATAACGTTAGCCTTTTGCTTCTGGCTATTAGATTTATGATTAGAAAATTATAAAAGTAGGGTAGACATGCAGAGATTATCCGGCTGAACAAAACGTGCATTTATCAAACAGGTTAGTTTTCCACAGACCTTATTTCGAGCTATCTTCCAAAATATAAATCCCATTGCTTTTTTGTCGAGGGAACTCATGCGCAGCTTATTCCCGGGTTTTAGGACGCGTCCCTGCACCACACCATTTGACTTGGTGTTATGGTGCATACATAAAAATAAAACAAAAATTAAAAACAGAGATGGAAAACTATTTGAAGAAAACTATAATAAAAAAGCATTGAGCATATGAACGGAGGCGTGTGGCGCAGTGTATGGTGCGTAGGTGTTCGGATCAGGGGGTCACAGGTTCAAACCCCACTGCAGTCAGCATGTTGTTGTGTCCCTGAGACACTTCACCCCAAATTGCTCCTGTGGGGATTGTCCACAGTATTGAGTATGTAAGTCGCTCTGGATAAAAGCGTCTAACAAGTAACGTGTAATGTAATGGATGGATTCATGGATGTTGGGATTGGTAAACAATGTCCACCAATCCCAACACGCCTTTAAATGTAGTCTCATAAAGATGGAAGTAGATATCAAATGGTGTCTAAATGTCACACAGAGTTGCTAAGTGAAGCTTTCTGGCAGGAGATGCTGACGACACAGAGCCAGAACTGCTACAGAGAGCAGATCCAGAAGGAGATGTTGACCCGTTTGTCCTGGAAGAAACGCTACAGCCACCTGTACCCCTCCAACGATCCCCAAAACATCAGCACCGAGGGGACTAATCTGCCCGGCAACACACAGTGAGCTTTGAATTATTTAAAACTGATCTAGTTAATGTTGGACATATGTACATTGTTTATTACATAGGTACAGTGCAATTTGATACATATCAGTATAAAATACAACAACAGAAACATAACCTCAGGTCAAGTGTTTTTTTAATCCTCAAATCTACAATGTGAAGATCCTCCTCTCTCAAGGACACATTACACATACTTAAATACAGGAACATTATAAACATAGTTTTTAGTGTTTTTCAATGGAGGAGTATTTTAGTAGGTTGACCCTGAAGGCAGCATCTCCCTGGTTCATCCACAGAATGGGATTCAGAGATTTGACTGGGAAACTTTCCAAATCTCTTCAGCCCGTGTTAACCACAGACCTTATTTCAGGCTCAGACAAAGGAACCCAAAGTGCTAAAATGTTTTTTTCATTTTCGGGTTTTATATTTGAGTGAGCTCAACATGGGTGATTGAAAAACACATTGAAGTTAAGCATTGTGTAAAAGTGTCACTTGATACTTAGAGAGGTTGGATGAAGATTTCTAGGTTTCTAACACCTCGAAACTTCTGGGGCAAACATTAGCAGCGTATGTTAGCACACTATTATCTAACATTAGCACTTTTATGCTATGCTAGCTACTGAATGTATAAACATGCTGTATATGCTTTGTAATGACTAAAATGGTAAATAAAGTCCAACTCTGCTTTACAGATCAAATCGTTAACTGTTTCACTAAAAAAGTATGGTTTCATAAAATGGATATAAAGCTTTGGGTTTTCAAACAGTTTAGAGGTAGAGATGTGACTGGGTAACTTTGCAAAAAATCTCTTCAGCCCGTGTTAACCACAGACCTTATTTTAGGCTCAGACAAAGGAACCCAAATTGCTAAAATGCTTTTTCATTTTCGGGTTTTATGTTTTAGTGGGCCAGTCCTGAAAATTGTTAATTGCAGATGTATAATGGACACTTCTTGGTTAAACCTCTCGTGTTTCTGCTTCATTTACTAGAGCTGTCCTGCCTCCTGTCACCAGGACAAACAAGAAGCAGAGCGGCCTTCCTCTTCCTCCTCTTCCTCCTCCTCCTCATCTCCCTCCTCCTGAGATCTCTCCGGAGGGGGAGGGTCTTCCCAATGTCTCCCCCCTCATGAGGCCAGTCTCTCCAAAGACCAGAAACGCTCTCTACCAGGACTCATCGCACCACGTATGAATACAAGTTTGGGTGTTTCAAGAGTGGTTAAATTAGGTTTTTCTCCATAGTCAGTGTATGAGGTTGAGCCATGTTCTGCTGTGGGTATATTTTAGACTCCTAAAGCAGTTCAAGTGAACGTTATACTTATAGGAAATGTCCCCTCTTTACCTTAAAATAATGGACTTTGTTATCTACTGTATGCTCTATTCAAATCAACCGTGCTCCATGGAGAGAAACTGTCATTTGACCTTGCAGGACAGAGGGATTCAAGATCCAAGATTCAAGGCTTTATTGTCATTTGTACATTAGCTACAGTGTAGATATGTCAATGAAAATCTTAGTTCACAGGCTCCTCAAACAGTGCAACATATATATAGGACATCGAACAGATACAACAGATGAAATAGTAAATACAAATAAAATAGAAGGTTAGTTTGTGTTATTCTGTAACGTTGGTGTCCTCCGCAGGGTAAAGGGCGCCGCCTGTACCTGCAGAGACGAGGAAACATCCGACCCGAGGAGAAGTTTGACTTTCCTCTGCTCTCGTCCTGGGAGTACGGCTGGAGGCTGGGTGAGTTAACGAGGACATATCCTGCTGATGTTCAGGTGTATATCAGTGTCTGATACAGTATGACTTTAGCCTTTGCACTCCATTTACATGCACAAACGCCTTTATAACACAATACAGGGAAGGGACAGCCCCAAAAAGCATGTGCTCTATGGCATCAAATGACCGTCAAAGTAAAATAAGATAAGATGGACCTTTATTAATCCACGTGGGGAAATTCAGTAGTTGTTATGCTGACAGTTTGACCACTATGAAAATGTTGCTCCAAACCCTGGCACACTTTCCGGGAATTTGCTTATTCCTCAGAAGGAGGGTTGAAGAGAAAATGCATGTAAAGATATTGTTCAATGAAAGACATTTAAAAAACATATTGATGCTACAGATTAAAAACACATTAATATGGATGAAACTGTCCAAATCTAAGTTTATATCTGTGTTTATTTGAGTTGAAACCAATATACATTAAACTTAGGAACACATATTAGGATAAAATAAGATAACATGGAGATGTATTAATCCCTGTGGGGAAACTCAGGAGTTTAAACAGCAACAGGGTAAGAATCAGTGCTGGAATTGGGCCGGTACTCACCGGTACGCAGTACCGGCACTTCTGGTTCTGACCCATGGAGTACCGGCACTTCTTGCTCAGTACCGGCATGCTGGCGGTACTCCGGTACTCATGCACCGTGCCAGTACTCAACACTCTCCCGCCGTTCTTATTATACATCCATATATATATATACAGCCGCCCGGTACTCAGTAGGTGCGTCATGAGGTGCCGAACGGACATTCTCATCGCTCTAACCGCTGGAGTTTCACAGCGGCTGTCAGCTGTTTACTCCTGTCATTCAAACAGAACGTGCTGGAGAGGGGGCGGGGCTTATCTTCTCCATGTAAATACTGTGGTGGAAACGACTATGTCAAAATTAACCTATTTGACCGTGATTTAATAGTAATACACGTTTCAAAATAATAATAATAATAATAATAATGCCGAAGTAACAACATACTGAAAACTGTTAGTAAAACCATGTTTTAATGCTTTACAATTTACATACCTAGATGCACGTGTGTTGTGTTTATGCAGTGCAACTCCCACCCAGTGGGTGGCTATGTAGAGTGATAGAACAGAGCAGGCACGCCCCCGAGAGAAGGAAAGCAAGTCACGTCACAAATGAGCATTTCTAAAATGTTAGCGTGGATTAATAAAAGTGCAAAAAGACAGCGGTTGTCGCCGGAAGAAACTTCAAATACAGAGAATGCTGTGCCTGTGTTGGAAATTGTGTCTGATGGGGAGCTTTCTTTGGTTGATCCTCCTGCTCCAAGTTCTAGTGCATTAGCACTAGCTCCGCCGCCTCCTCCAGAGCCTCTAACGTTAGCTGCTGCTGGCGCAACTGCCACCACCAACACCGGGCAAAGCGATGCACCTGACTGCTGGACAACGGACCAGGTGCAATATTTTTGCAAGACCAATGCATGGCTCCTCCTTAAAGATAAGAAGCTAGGATGTCGGATATGCAGAGATGTCAAATCTTTGGGAATACACACTGGACAAGGACTGAAACTGTCAACTGAATGGGGTGAGTGTGCAGTGTCTCATTTCGGTGTTGACAAGGGCAAACAACAAGCTAGCCTGAGAAAAAAAATCAAAGAACATAAAGAATCACAAGCCCATGTAAAAGCTGCTGACATCCTTACATCTGCTTCACGTGAAACTATTCAACATCAAGTGCAGTCTATGCATACATCTGAATTAGACACCACTATCAGAGTTTTTCGAACGGCATATAAAATTGGCAAACATAGCCGGCCATTCACAGACATGCCAATTGATTTGAATGTACAGAAACTGAATGGGCTGAACGTGGGCAGGGTTTTGCACTCCAATAAAACCTGTGGCGAAATCATCGACCACATAGCTCATGAGCTGAAGAAAAAAATGGCAAAAGACATTACAGAAAACCAAAGAAAACTCTGTGTTTTGGTCGATGAATCTACCACTATTAGTGGTAAAACGGTGCTTGTTGTGTGTCTACGCTCAGCATTAGTTGATGCTGAGCCCGAAACGTTTTTTTGGGAGCTGATCGAGTTGGATGGAACAACGGCTGATGACATCACAAAGGCGTTACTGGAGTGTCTTGGAAGAGATTTTAACGAGGACTTTTTAGGTCAGTGTTTCGTTTCTTTTGCATGTGATGGGGCTTCAGTCATGCTAGGGAAGAGAACAGGCGTTGCTACCCAGTTGTGTAGTAAATTCCCAAGCCTGTTTGTGTGGCACTGCTCCAATCATCGTCTAGAGCTGGCAGTTGGGGATGTGGTCAAGGAGGTCTCAGGGCTCAATCATTTCCAGATCTTTTTTGACAAATTCTATTCCTTGTTCCATGCCTCCCCCAAAAATCAGAGGCAGTTAGCGCAGTGTGCGCAAGCAGTCGGACAGCGTCTCCTGGTGATAGGGCGTGTTTTGTCCATCCGCTGGGTGGCTTCAAGTGAAAGGAGCGTCAGAGCAGTCTGGGAAAACTACCGAGTGCTTCATGATCACTTCACAAATGCTGCAAACGACACGAGCAGGGATTCCAGAGACAGAGCAAAGTACAAGGGCCTGGATGATGTGCTCACATCCGCAACGTTTGTCAGCAATCTGGGACTGATGTACGATGCGCTCACAGAGCTCAGCGACCTCTCTCGGCAACTCCAAAAAAGAGAGATGACACTGCCTACAGCAGATAGGCTCTTAACTCGAGAAATACGAGTTTTTGAATCCATGGTCACCATGCCTGGCCCACACATGACTACAGTTCATACAGCTCTAGCTGAGAAGTCCTTCAAGGGTGTTGCCCTGCGTGAGAATGGCAGGCTTGTACAGATTCATGCAGGTCAGTTTTTCCGCAGTATGGTAGAGAATCTGAGACACAGAATGACTTCCACAACCTCCTCTCATGTCAGCACAAGAGAAATCCCATTACATGGCCGGGAGGCCCGGGACAATCAGCTAATCCAGGACATGAAAGTTATCCATCCTGGAAGTTGGCCTGAAGAGGAGTTAGACGTACAGTATGGGGACGTAGAGGTGCTACGTTTGTGCGAAGTGCTGAAAGTGGACAGAAGAGAGACTGTTCAGGGCTTTCGCGAATACAAGGAAACCAGGGCATCCCGTACACCTGCTGCCATGGAGCCTCTACTGAAAGCAGTCCGAACCATCGCTGTCTCCACTAGTGAGTGTGAGCGGGCATTCAGCTGCATGAACGATATCCTTACTGCAAAAAGGAATGCTCTCTCTGTCAGCCGACTGTCCAGCCTGGTTTTCATTAAATGTAATGGACCATCACTAGGACAGTTCAATCCGGAACAGTATGTGAGGTCCTGGCTGGCAAAGGGAAGGAGAAGTGCTGATGAAAGAGCCTGTCCAGCTCCAGCCCCTGATACTGATGTCCCCAAGGCCTTCTGGAGCCTTTTCTAACAATGTGAAGTATATTGCAAAGCAGCTCACCCAGTGAGAAGACTTTTGGCATAATGTGCCGATTTGTACAGATCCTGGAGATAGAAGGACTTCAGACCACCCAGGGAGTTATCTGATCAGCTTGGTGTTCAATGTAACTCTTTACCATGGCTCAGACTTTGTTACTTGCAGTTACAGTTTCTCATTTTAGATTGTGCACATTTAGCATTTGTTTTTACATGTTCTTTGTTCATGCTCTTTATCATTTTTCTGAGTTGGAAAGTTAGATTGCATCATAGTTTACTTTATACATATTTGTATTCTTCAGTGGTGAAGTATATTGCAAAGCAGCTCAGCCATGTGAGAAGACTTTTGGCACTTTTTCGTTTTTCGTTTTCTGAGTTGGAAAGTTAGATTGCATTCAAAATGTACAGAAATACTTAATTTTGTTAAAGCTTTTTATAAAAAATGCTTCTGACCAGAGCTTTGTTTCCTTGTCATTAATGTTGAACACCACCAGAGGGGCTCTCACCTGAAAGGTCTCTGCTTCATGTGTCTTCAGCAGAAGATCTAGACTTTGATTGCTATATTTTCAGTTAATATTGACCTTACTGAGCTTTAGCCATATCCGCTGCCTATCATAACAAATGTTAAGTACAGTGAACCTTTCTAAAATATACAGTAGTAAAGAGACAAACCCACCAGCATTATAGTAGCCAAATTCTTGTTTGTGGGCTGTATATATAAAATTGACTTGAAAAAGTTGCTGATTTTAGAGTACTGGCACCTTTTTCATTCCAATTCAAGCACTGGTAAGAATGAAAAGCATATGGCAGTGTTTATATCGAGCAGTCACCACATGTTCTCTGTATCCTCTTAGATATTCCCTCCACATTAACGCTGTCTGACTTCCTGCAGGCGACTACACTCTGGATTACAAAACTCCATCCCGCGCCAAATCCTCCGTGGTGAAGAGCACCTTCTACGCCAGGAACGGTGTGTTCAGCAGCCCGTCAGCCAGCGACTCACTGGGCTGAAGTTCAGCCTCCAGACACCAGGGGGCGCTCTTTAATGAGAGAGGACATGCTTTTATGTTATAAACCCCATGTTCCCACAGTTCATATCATTTTGTGATTTGGGGTATTGTTAGCCATTTCAAGATCATGGCATGTTCTTCGGGGCTAAATTGCATGTTATCTGTGAGAATTGACCTTCCATTAAGTCCCGCCCCTCGAATGCAGACTGGCCAATCAAAACGCTGCATTAGTCAGCTCCGAGGGTCCGACAACTACATTTCCCTATTACTATTTACTTTGAGGCTTGTTTTGTGGATTTTAAGTTAGTTGAAATACAAATGTTGAGGTTAAACATAACGTAAAAGTGTTACTTGATACCCAGAGAGGTTAGGTGAAGACTTTAATACCTAAAAACTTCTGGGGCAAACGTTAGCAGAGTATGTTAGCATATTATTATCTAACGTTAGCACCTTTATGCTATGCTAGCTAGTGAATGTATAAACATGCTGTATATGCTTTTGAATGACTGAAAAGGTAAATAAAGACCAACCCTGCTTTACAGATCAAATCATTAACTGTTGTTTTGCACAGAAAAACAAAGTATTGTTTTGGGATATTTAAAGTACGGTTTCATAAAATGAATATAAAGCCTCTATTTGGGTTTCCAAATGAAGTTTAGAATGTCAGAAAAATCCTGATTTTAACTAAATAACTATAGAATTAATGAAGTAGGCTTTTTCAGCTACAGTGTATTAAAATTGTACTAACATTCAACAGTTTTCTTGTTTGTTTTACCAAGCTTTTTAAACTTCATAAGATTATTTATTTGATGTATGATTGATACAATTCAAAAAGACTACTGTTAACAACTTAACAATTACATATCCTTGTGGTAGAGACGATCCTCTACTTCCTGTTTCTGTTTGTGTTCGACCACACGGCTGTAAGGTTAACGTCCTCTCACCTGATCCTGTGTGATGGATAATTAACGAGCTGCTGGCCTCGAATCAGTCAGAGAGAAGAACACCTGATCCCTCTGAGTTTTTAATTAGCCACTCGAGGAAATGCTACACACCACAACAATGAATATTTTATCACTGATCTGTCGTATCCTCCTTACGCTTCTGCCTGTTTTATTTATTTACAAAATAAAGTGTTTATTTTACTTTTTAACCACTAATGCAGGACAAGGCTCTGTAAATATAAAGCTTGTGTTCAGGTCTTTAAAACGTTCTTATATGTGATATAATTATAACATTTATTTATAGAATAGTAAACTAAATTCTAAAAAGTATAATTTAATCGACTTTTCTCCTTAGAAATGAATACAAACCAAAGATAACTGTAACCCCTTAAAATCATGAAAATGTACGATGAATGTAGGAAATGATGGAGGATTTTACCTTTAGCTATTAGAAAGGAAGATCCAATGGGTATTACAACAACAACACACATCATTTGTAGTTAAGTGCTAAAACACACACACAAAAATATTATTTAAAACAACAGTACCTTTATTAATTCTGCTGATCTTTGCACACATTTCATGTAATAGCTGTAAATGTCCTCTATTAGAAGTTTGATATTTTATAAATGTTGTGGCTCAGATGCCGGTGGGGGAGATCAGGAATCCGGTGAAGGTGTGGCTGGTGCTGTCCATCTTCGTCACCAAGCTGTTGTACCTGGTCGCCTGCAGAGACACGGTGTCTCCGACCTCCAGGTCCAGCACCGCAGAGCCGGAGGTCACCAGGAAACCCTCGGACGTGTCGCACAGCGTCATGTGATCCTCACTGTTCTTCATCATTTTCACACACACCTACAAGTGATCATACAAGTGGTGGAAGAAGTACTCAAAACAAAGCCTTCTCATATACATTTTCCTAAGTTAAATTGGGTGCATTGTTTCTGATAGCAGCGTTCCTGATAGGGCCGTGGGTTTCAAGCCAGCCCACATTTCAGATATTACGTCATATCGGACGCAAATCTGGATCAGCTCCGTGGTAGCCCCGTTTTTAGAGATTTGTGTACGGAGGGTTTTATTTTCTGACACTGTGAGTTCCCTGACACACCAGGACACATATCTATGTATAAAATACATCATAAAGTGCATTTTGCATTATAGGAGACCTTTAAAGTGTGCAACAATGGGTGGATAAAGAGTGCTCCTTAAGATGACACAGATTTTTCAAGGATGTCAGGACCTCATATCGATTTTAACCGATTATAATAGGATAGAGTTGGACCAAGTATTCAAAACATTGCAGAAATAGAGCCACGGTAGGACCTAAACCTAAAATATTGGCAACCATAATATAATGGATTGAAAGTATAAAAAGCAGTATTGAAGAAGTATGAAAACGAAAAAGTACTACAACTTTAAAATGTTTTTCAAACACTTTCGCGGCTCTTGAGGACAAAATGAAGCAAATTAAAAGAACTCACTCTGCTCTTTGCTGAGAAGTGATAACTGAAGAAATAGATTCCTTTGATGGCGCATGTGAACGTCCCGTTGTTCAATTCCTCTCCACGAAACTGCTCATCCAGCTCAGGCAAAATCTGGCTGTGGGAAGAGTTTAGCTGTTACATTTTCCTATTAAGGATTTGACCACTCTTTGTATCCTTACTTTAGTTAAAAAGGTGGCCTTTAAGCGAATAAAAAACTATTAATCACAGTCTGCCTCATAAACTTGTTTCACTATAATTACATTACATAACATTTATTTCCCTGAATGTAAACGTTAGCAGCACTGACCGGTTGAAGTCGATGTTATTGTCGAGTTCTGGAGTTTGAGATATCACCCGTTTGTAGGAGAAGAAAGATATCTGCTGGTTGGAAGGGTTGAAGGGTCTTCCTTTCTCCCCGTGTCGGCCTGGGTTTCCGGAATGTCCAGAAAGACCCGCGTCCCCCTTCAGGCCGGGGCGTCCTGGGGGGCCCCCGAGACCCAGGAACCCCTTCTGGCCCCTGATAGCCTGTCCTGCCTCACCTGATCCTCCAGAGAAACGTCGGTCAAGTTTCGAATTTCAAGGCTTTATTCAGTCAAAATACTTATGGTTTTTTTAAGAAACATTTAGCAATAAAAATGTGAAAAAAAGATATTGAAAACTATTCTTAATTTTTTCCAGAAAACTTTAATATACTGATAAGTCATGTGTTTAAATCTCTCCCAAATTGCAACTTAAATATAAAGTTTATTTGTCAAATTTTAAAACAATGAGTGAAAATGTACCAGCTCAGTAAAATGTAAGAAAACATTTCAGTAAACGTATAGAGTCAGATCTCCAGAAGAAAAACAATAATTAACATCAAATGTTTCTGAAGTCTCTGTCTCAGCTCACCAGCGTCTCCCTTTTCTCCCATTGGCCCGTCCATGCCGTTGGGCCCATGGCTGCCCGGTATCCCCGGGATCCCATTGGAGCAGGACTGTGAGACGACCAGAGAGATGTGGAGCAGGAGCAGAAACACTGCAGTGCCGCAGCTCAGCCACCGGGGGGCCTGAACACACACACACACACACACACACACACACACACACACACACTTGTTTTTGCTACTTAGCAGGACTACCGAAAATATGGGAACGTGTAATGAAAATATTTTTTCAGTGGTTTTGACATTAGATTTGGGTATCTGAAGAGCCTACAAACCCACACGTTGTGAAATAAGTGACCTCAAGTTGTTATTTGGGGTCAAAACCTGGTATTTCATAATTACATATTTTTGTGGTCGTGCAATTACATTTGGGTATCTGAAGTGCCTACAAGATATCATACATGTAATTTTAAAATAAATTAATTGCTAAAGAAAATAGATTTCTTCATATGGTACAAATTAGATTAATACTAGATAAGACATAGACAACGGTTCTAAATCTGCTTCTACAACAAAACAAATAATACTTTGTTCAAAATACCATGACGTAAAACTGTCCACTTCTCTATCACCAATGCTGCTGTCTGAATAAGTGATTTTCTCGCTTTTTGTCTACATGCAAATGTTTTTATTTTATTTTATAGAACGCAAAAGTCTCACCATTTGTAGATAAAGCAGTCCCTCGTCTTGTGGTGGAGTGATACGCTGACGGAGAGCGGAGATGTTTCAGCTTCAGTCCGGAGAAATAAACAGGAAGTGAAACAGTTCAATGGCGCATGCTCTGTTGGAATTTATATTTTTTTAGGATGCTATACTTCTAGTAATAAAATGACAAAAAGTTCATATGTATGTAAGTTTCAGGTATTTGCGTATTTCATACTCCACAGTTTTTTAGGTAATATACTTTACACTGACACAAATGTTTCTGAAGTGTGTAATACTTTGAAGATTAGGATATTTCACACAAGAAATATGTTGTAAAATATGCATTAAAAAACATAAAGAAAACATAAAATCGTTCAGTTTTGCTCAACTTTGACCATCTAAATAGGTTAAATGCTTATTGGTGCATCTGGGGTAATAAACAAATGGTACGATATAGCACAGTGTAAATATAGGCTACCTAATGGCAAGTTAAAGGGTTACATTATTGTTATTCCACTAGTTGTGTTCATGCTTTAAGATATATGTGTATATTGTAGCTGGTTAAGGTGGAGTTCATATCACACTATAAATTATAGTTTACCTTTTCTAATGCATTACATTCAACTTAAGAGTAACATCATTGAGGAAGATTCAATATGTAATTGATTTTCCAACTAATTTGGAATGCAGTGACATGTATTTAGCGCTGAAATGTAGATTAGAAATAAGAGGTTTCATACAAATTTAGAAACTTGTACTTGTTCACATTTATTGTTATTTTGCTGTATTTTTGGTTAAACTTCACTTTCTGTTCCTGTTAACCTGTAATTACACATATTTAATTAGTCTGACAAGCAAATCATCCATCAGAGGAAGTGAAACACTGACACAAGAAGTCAGGAAAATCTCCCATGATGAAGAAGTGATGATGCAGCATTGTTGAATCTTTCTGATTAAAAAAACATGTTCTCATATTAACATTTTGTTCTGATTTTTAATCTGAACTTCCTGTTTCTATCTCTGTTTTCCTGGCAGTGTTTTTTAAGGCTCTTTACCCGAATCTACATGTCAGTATCTGTTCCACAAAATATGAAATGTTGTCAACGTGCCCATCAACAAAGAGCTGATCTACAGTAAATGTATTATAGTGACATCCTGTCAAATATACCAATTCTTCATTCTCAGATCCTCTTTAATTTTCTTGCATTTTGTAAATGTTATGTTTTATTTTTGCGCAAGTTTCGATTGACAATCTGATACATTGTTTTGAACGACATCGGGACTATAGATTAAAGAAAAGGAAGCGGGCAAATGTCAAATATGTTCTTTTATTTCAAATAGGATAGACATTAGACTTGAAAATGCATCACGTTTCAGCCTTGGAGTTTAAATCAGTTAATAATGAGGAAAAGGGCTGTTTGTATGTCCGTCCTGCAGGTCAGTAGGAGTGCAGCAGGAAGCCGGAGAAGATGCTGTATCCTTGCTGTTTTCCTGTCATCCCTCTGTAGTCTTTAGTCTCCAGCCAAACCTCCTGATCCCTCGACAGGTAGACCGCCAAGCTGCCCGCCGTCACCTGAAGGGCAAATCAGGAAGTACTTTAATGTATTTAGACAGAGGTGGGGATTACAAATACTACTTTTTCTGGTATCAGTACTTTACTCCACTACTTATTTTTCTGATGACTTTTTACTTTCTAGTTCTTACATGTTGAACACAAATACCTGTACTTTCTACTTCTTACATGTTGAACACAAATACCTGTACTTTCTACTTCTTACA